TATTTATATATGTGTGTGTATATGTATGTATATATATGTGTATATATGTACATATATATGTATATACGTATATATGTATATATGTGTGTATATGTATATATGTATGTGTGTGCATGTGTATGAACATATGTGTGTGTATGCATGTGTATGTGTATACTGTATAAGTACATTTATATAAGTACATTTGTATTTGTGTGTTTGTATATTTAGTAATTTTATATGCATATTCAGTTTTAAGGTGCTTTTTAATGTATTTTTCTAGTTAAGTTGTTTTATTTTAAGTTATTTGTTATGATTGTCGCACCTCCTGAGTGCCGCTGATGTATATGGTGTCTGTATAGAGTCAATAAATGATTTGATTTGATTTTTCCAGGAAACCATGGAGGCGCATGGAAACCATGGAAACCATGGAGGCGCAACAATATTACGTGTGTCAATGTCCTAGTAACAATTCTATTAAAACAGCACCACCCTTCTGCTACCTAGTAAAACCTTGTGTCTTAATGTTAAAATAAGGCAACTTAGCGAAATATTCTTGTTTAATCTTTTAATAAATTATATCTTCCAAGGTGGTTGAAGTTGGGCCGACGACGAGAATCGGCTTACCTCGGCCGACTCTTTCTCATTTTTGTCCTACTTTTGATGAAAAAACGATTGTCATTGTTCAATTATTGTGAACTGCCACTACTGAATCAAGTCTGCAATTTATTAAGCATTAGTTTGGAAAGAGATTTGTATTATTGTACATAAGCCTATTAATTTTTCACGAGCTGGGACTTGTTAGCAAACGTTTTCGGTGGCAAATATTGAACATTAAGGAGTGTTTTCCCAACTAGGATTAAAACCCGAGCATTCAGCTCCATGGCGAACGCTTTAACCAACTTGGCTTTGTTTAGATCTTCAAATTTTATTAATGCAACCAGTTCTTTAAATGCGTAGTAGGACAGGACTACGTCCTGATGCACTGCAAATAACATAGATGACAGATATAAAAATTAATACTCTAGATAAATAAATTAATACGAACACATAATGTTATGATATCAAGCATAGCCCTTCAACGAAATAGTGCCCTTTTTACTAGTTTGAAAAAAGCGTCTCTGACTGACGACGGGATTTGAACCTGCAGACTCCTGTCAGGCGAAGAGTGTCGGGTATGTAGTTTTATCGTGCATGCGTAGAACGTTCGGAGAAACGTTAAATCATGAATTTTGACTGAGCTGACCTTGAATGTAGTTTGCATGAGCTACATTAATGATTTCATTAACAGCAGAATATTTCTGGGCACGGCTATTGCATTATGGGCAGCACTACTGCAGGTGTTGTTATATTTTATATATTAAATCCTTAGATGGGCACTGCTACTGCATTATGGGCACTACTTCAGGTGTTGTTATATTTTATATATTAATCCTTAAATGGGCACCGCTACTGCATTATGGGCACCACTACTTCAGGTGTTGTTATATTTTATACATTAATCCTTAGATGGGCACCGCTATTGCATTATGGGCACCGCTACGGCAGGTGTTGTTATATTTTATATATTAATCCTTAGATGGGCACCGCTACTGCATTACGGGCACCAATACTGCAGGTTTTGTTATATTTTATCCATTAATGCTTAGATGGGCACCGCCACTGCATTATGGGTACCGCTACTGCAGGTGTTGTTATATTTTATATATTAATCCTTAGATGGGCACCGCTACTGCAGGTGTTGTTATATTTTATATATTAATCCTTAGACAGGCACTGCTACTGCATTACAGACACCACTACTGCAGGTTCTGTTATATTTTAAACATTAATCTTTAGATGGACACCGCTATTGCATTATAGGCACCGCTACGGCAGGTGTTGTTATATTTTATATATTAATCCTTAAATTTATTCTTAAAACTGTAGGCACTTTCAGTATTATTACGCTGATTTTCAAAGTGTTACAGTTTAAACATAACAAAAATATATACAATATAAAGAATTGTTTAACAAAAAATAAAAAGAAAATAGGCACCACTACTGTCAATAACTAAGCTTAAGGCGACCGTCGGCCGACGAGTCTGTCTGCGCTTTCTGCGAACACTTGATGACGCGACACCGCTGCTTGTTGGTAGACAGAGCAGATTGTAATTAAAGGATCCGTTGCACGCGCATCGCCGGGTTGTATTCTCCGTGAAATCGCGTCGACGCAGTGAGTGATCGGTTTAAACGCCCTACCGTACTTGTAGATACTTTTTTCAAAATAATAATAACACATTGGTGGCTATTGACGCCGGCCTTTATCGTTGAAATACACGGACTGTTATAGAATTATGATTAATTAGGCCTATTGTTAGAATAAATTTATGGTGGTGCACTGCTGTGCATGGATAATATATGACGTGTACACATAGGATGGGATTAGACCTGTTTAGTCAAAGCCTGGTTCGGATGAAGCCTATGTTAGCCTAATCTTCTTTCGGTCTCGGATTTTCATCTACGCCTCAATTCGATCTGGGTAGTTTAGGCCGTGACCAAAAAAAAAAAAAAGATGCATCATAATAATCTGCACCTCACATTTTAGTCTATCTCTCCCCATCGATATTTTTTCTGCCCAGCCCCCGAGCAGGATCGTGGGTTCGTATTCTTATTTAGCGCACTAATGAGAGTCAATATGTGTGTGGGCGGGAGTTATTAAAGCTCAGGTAAGAAATGTTAATACTTATTACGAATGGACAGTAGCCTCGATGCTTCATGCATCAACTAATATTGGTCGATAAAATGCGTGGTTAAACTTTGGCAGAATGTACTGTTTATAACCTTCTCGTCTAATCGTTCAAAATTGGTCATCGATTTGCGTTTTATAAGGACTACTGCTCCAGATTCGTTCTTCAATTAAGTGTATTATTGTGTAACTTGTTATCGTTATTTTTTGGAGTCGTTTGTTGTTTACGTCAGTAGTACCCCTTGGGCCAACACATTCAGTTGTTCGAACGACATGACATACCCCCAGAGACCTGATGATAGTTACCGGTAGTTTCTTAGTTATTTTTACCCCGAAAGTTGTAAGACTAACCATGCATATGATAGTCGAGTGATCTATAGAAACGGCAAGCGATAGGGGTGACAAAATTCTGGAGCAGAAACTCACCTGCGTCGATGATCCGACCATTCTACATTGTTACTGAAAGGGCCGAATTTGTTATTCTAATTGATGCATATTAGGCCTATTAGTACCGTGCATCTATGAATGGCGCAATTTTGTACATAGCCAAATTTCGAATTAAGCTTAAATGCATTTGCCTTCAATACACAATCTCATCTACACAAATTCGGCCTGATTTGTGTAGATTAAAATCACTCAAAAATTTCCAATCAATATTGATAAAATTCTTAGATATTTTGAGCAACTAAATGTTAATAGGTTCATTTCTCCCATTCAATAGGGAATATCAACGCCCACGCTCTAGACAATCTGTCAAAAAAAACACGCCTATAAAATGTTAAAGAGAAGAATATCAGATGTAAATAACGTTATCACAACGTTGTAGCCATGACATAAACGTTGTTGCGTCAGGAATTAGGTTATAAAAACGTATTTATGGTTCTACAAAAGAAAACGTTCTGATATTAAATTTCACTGCAACGATATTATAACGTAGAATTAAATACAAAATATAACAAAATGTAGAATTTACAGACAGGTCTGGAGACCTACCAACAACCTCATTTTCCACTCTTTTTTAAGGCATAGGCCTAGGCCTAAATGCGTATACGCGAACCAACGACTTGGTTATATAGCATTTAAGAGGATTTATATATCATGTTGTTCATCTATATTAATCATAAAATCAATATTAATCAGTATTCATCCTGTCTCTTATACACATCTAGATGTGTATAAGAGACAGATATATATGTGCCTATATAAAATCAGAGTTGTTGCAAAGGCAAATTGAATATAAAATAAAACACGTTGGTGATGGTTGGTTTGCATCAAAGTTATTGTGAAAATACAGACGAGAGTCGGGCGTAACCTTTGTTAAAATAGCCTATAAAGTAGTAGTAGGCCTATATATAAATAGTTTTGGCAACTCAGTAGAGAATAAGAATGACAATAATGTGATAATACTACAACAACAACAACAATTACAAGTAACTACCCGCAGATTCGAACCATTTCCATTGCAAATCAAAAGATTTAGCCCTGTCTCGTGTTTCATGCTATAACGAATTGGTAAGCAGCAATGAATGGAGAATAAAGATTCTTAGGTCTAATATCTGAGTACTTCCATGGTCAACATTAATATTACTTTGTGTAATTGATAAAGTTATTCCGGTTAGATTTTCATTTTTATTAAATAATTTCAGGCATATCTCATATGAAAAGCAGTCTATTGAAAATGACATCACGGTAAAATAACGATTAAAATTCATAGAATGCACGCATTTTATGAATTTCCTAAAATGCACTGAAAATTACCACGAGGCAATAAAGGATTAACAGTAAACCTTGGTCTATAGGTAAACCTGCAGTACTTCATACTAGGAGAATTTTAATAAGCAAATGCTCGGAATCCTATGGTTAATAAAAGCAGTTTAAAATAAAGTTCAATTTGAATTCATGGTAATGGTAATGGTAATGGCTGTATATTTATTAAGCGATTATTACAATAATCTCCATGCGCTTGAAATGCAAAGTCTTGGAAGCAGAAAAATAAAAACTGAGAAATATCCTAAGACTAACAAAAGCAAACAACCGAAGAGACAAAGAGAAGATAGCTGGAGGAACCAGTGTCACTGCTTTGTTCTCCAGCACTTTGAGGCCAAAATGAATAAGGGCTCGCTGGAACATGATTTTACAAGAGCTCTAGTGACACTGGCATCTGACTATCCTATCCAAAAATAAAGGGCAGAAAAGAAAAACTGATTAAAAAGAGCAAAACAGGTGGGTTTTAAGCCTCGTCTTAAACACGGAAATAGATGGAGTCTCACGAACAGTGTCAGGTAATGCGTTCCAAAGCTTTGGGGCCACGACACTAAATGAACGCTTGCCAAAAGATTATAAACGGCAATTTAGACAGTAGAGTATAGATGAACTGGTTGTGGATCTCAGAGTTACATGTTCACTCACTCTGAGATCCACAGCCCCGTCCACAACGTTCATCTCTCTGTCCACCCTGCCTATATACCGGTATGTGGTATTGATATTCGTTAAGGGAAACATTAAGAAAAACATAATTCTTCAAAGAATATGTATAGTACTATCAAGAAACTAGAGAAGCCTATCAATTCGTAGCTTTATACTGTAGGATGGTTCTTTAATAAGCAAATAGGCCTACTCAGAATCGCAAGGTAAATAAAACAGTTCACAACAAATTTCAATTGGAATTAATGTTCGGGTAAGTAGTATTGGTACACTAATCGTATTTGAAAAAAAATCTAAAAAGTCCAAAACGAAATTCAATTTCGACTAATTATACCAGTAACGTAGTATTAGTACAGTATTCGTTATAGGGAAATATTACGAAAAAATAATTCTTCAAATAATAGGCCCTATGTAATACTGTAAAAAAAACAAAACAAAAAACAAAAAACAAAAAAAAAACAAAGAAAAACAAGAACAAAAACAAAAACAACTACAGAAGTCTGGGAAAAATCAATATAGAATAAGATATGATAGAACATTTGTCTCTCCATGAATAGCAACGGTACTAAGCTTAGTCTTATCTGTATACCAATAGTAAAGGAGCGCTACACAAAAGTACAAAATACTGGTAATTTAGAATTGGTTCTCTAATTCGTTCTCTTTCCAATCACATTAGCTCTCTACAAATGCTAGAATATCATAGTTTCTTAGGTAGACGGAGGATACACAGAACCGTTGAAACTGTGTAATATTTCCCGTACCGAGCAGTTTCGACTCTACCCCAAAGGGATTTCCAATTTCTTGAGCTCGAAATTTAAGATTTTGTTGCAGTTTCCAAACTGAGCGAAACTGAAAAGAGCGCGTAAAAAACCTATTTAATAGTGTGTTGTTTATTACTGAATAGGCCTATAGTACAGTATGTATGTTTTTATAATTTATGATACATCTGTAAGTCTGTATCACGCTTATTATTACATTTGCATTTCCCCGTGTCTATTCTTAGATGGCGTCTAGACTGTTTGCAACATTTATTGCAATTGCCTGTCTTTTTGGAAAATTTATGTTTAATGAGGGCGCTCCCACATACATCGATGAGGTAATTATATTGTTTAATGATTATCTTCTACCTATATTTAACATGGCCTATTATTTATTTCTGTTAATAAAAATGTTTTAAAGTAGGCATAGTAACAGGCCTACTAGTATTTGTAATAGGCCTACCTTTAAAGGTGCCAGCTCTATCCATGTAAAAAAATACTGATAATTTTTGGTGCATTCTAATTCTGAATCGTATGAAACTTGTGAATAATAAATGAAGTTTCTTATATTTCAGTCTGAATTATATGACGTAATTAGTGACGTAGATCTGGAATACGATGCCACCAGCAGAGAGCGTGCGAAGTTCCCCAGTATACAGCTTCCAAAGCCGTTTATGAATAACGATCGACCTGAACCACACCCAAAACCTGTAGAAAGTAAACCCGAATGTGAAGAGAAAACTAAACCGTCATTTTTTAGCAATTCTGGATCGTCTTCACCCGAGAATATGAGTTTCTTAGCTAGGATGATAGAGCACCAACGGTTAGCACCAGCAACTGCCCCAAGCTTTCTTCCAGACGCAAACTTTCGTCCGTTTTTCCCGAACCCTCTGGTAACTTTCATCCTCTCTTTGTATTATAATTATTTGCTTTAAACATACATTACCGTACAGATTCTGTATATAAGGGTTTACATGAAATTATTTTTCAAAACTTTTAACAGACTAAAATGTAACAATTTTCATATTCTTTGATAGACCCTTAAATGGACTAGTAAGCAATTTAAAAAAAAATGTATGTAAATCAGTAAGTTTGGTTTGATCTATTTTTCATTAAATTTCGAAGTCAATAATTTAGTTGATCTTTATAAGGTATACCAAATGTTTTTAAGAGGGTCACAGCATATAAGGAATAATCAATAAATAATCTATAAAAAATGTTTTCATATTTTGTACCACGTGCTGAGCGTTTGGCTGAAAGTAGTGTTCCTACCTTGCGCTGTAGACCCGAATTCAAATTCGGCCAGCTTCGGGTTTCAATTGGAGTCGGATCGGTCTGCCACTCGAATAACCCTCGTATGAGAGTTAGGCGGGATAAGGGACAATGTATTCGTTTAGGCCTATAATGTCACTATCAGGGGCGGATCCAAATTGGGGGGGGGGGGGGGAACTGAAAGTGGGGCCGATCGAGATAATACTACCCTAGGTGATCCGGGGGCGTGCCCCCATGAAATTTATGTGTAGGAGAGTAGGGGTTTGTGACAACAAGATAAGCACTCTAGAAGAATCGTATAACACGTAATGAGACTGTTGGGTTGATTCAAACATCATATCTAAAATTTATTACATTACTGTCTGAAAATTTTCTGTACCTTTTTCATGGTAACTTGCAGTAGGCAAGTAGTGTAGTGTAGGCAGTGTCTGCTTGATATCAGTAACTAGAATTAAGAGGAATTTTAATCATAGTTATTAATCAAAAATACACTTTTCAAACTACACTCGGCTCTCATTTTTAGGTCATGTGGAACAGTGAATGTTTACCGGAAGACACTTTCTACATCTTACCAGGGTATAATGTGAAATTCCATCACGAAGACAACGGTGCTAGCTACTCAAATTACTCTGCGAGTACATACGGCCGCTGAAACACCTCGGCCGCAAGCCCGGACAATAATGTTCAAATTGCGGATTAAAGTGGTTCTCTCTCTGGATGACGACATGTATGATTGGTGCGCAGGCGTGCTGCAGTCATATAACCGACGAGCAACGTTTTCTACGAAAAATGTTCGAGATTATGTAAAATTTTATAGCTTGTATACATTGGTCAAAGAATTGTTCCAAATGATTCGATATAAGATCATAATCATCAGTCTATTTTTACGTTCTGAAAAAAATATGCCTATATTATGTGCCTGTAATATATGCAGTATACTGTTGTGTAGCTGCTGAGATTTTTCGTCCCCAATCTGAAAGCACACGACAACGGCCCACTTGGCTGGCATTGTTCATTGTTGTAGCTGAGTACAGGTAGGCCTCATAATTTTATGAGTGTTGGATATTAGGTAATATCGATTTAAAAAAAAATGTTTACGGCAGTTAAAATAGTGTGGGCAAAGAAATAAAAAAAAAAATGTTAAAATCCTAAGGTATTGTATTTTAATGAGATACAATCGAATAATTGAGTTTTTGCTGACTTATAACTAGGAAATTTAAAGGCCTATGAAAAAAATAAGAGTGTTATATTTAAGTGTCTGTTATTGAAGTCTGAGAAAACAAGTACTGTACTGTTAATGATATTAAAGATACACTGAAGTCATACAAAAATAATTCAATTTTGAAATGCTTGGTTATTTAAGCAAGTTATTATTAGCTTGCAATTGAAAATCCTTGTAAATTAATGGATGTAAAAGTTTCTGTATTATTTTTAATATACCATTAAATAGACCCTTAACAGTAGAAAACGTCTGTAAACTAGTGTGAAGCGATTTTATGGTAATTGGCTTTAATAATTAGCATAGTAAAAAAATCTTTTAATTTTGAAGAATGTTTAAAATATTTAATAGTTTTACTTTTATACAAAGAAATTCAAATTTCAAAATTGTATTAGTTAAAAAATACATGAACACGTAAGCCAATTCGTAGTTGAACTGCGCATGCACATATCTAATTTTAATAGACATGAACCATGTTGTGTGTATGCTTGTTTATGTCGATTGACGTTAATAAGGGCATGCGCAGTTCAAACTACGATTTGGCATATTAATTTAGAAAAACCGGTTTTCCATAAAATCGCCGACAACTTCGGTGGCGCTGATTGGCCGGTCGATCGGTATTGTTGTACACTTGTATAACGTCGGGGACAGCTACGATTGCAGCGAAAATACTGTAGAGACTTGGGATATTTTTAAATCACTGGGACTTCCGTATTATACTGAATGGACCTTCCGTTAAGCTTCGACCCTTGGATATTGTTGCATAAGGTCCCATAACCCGACAGCGTTAAAACCACTGATCCTTATTAGACCTATACAGTAATAGAGATCAGTAGTTAAAACATACGCAAACAGGTTTCTTGTGGGACACACGCGTATCCCTGCCCATGTTTCAATTGGTCAGTTGTTAAGTTTGACTGACACTCTGGAAAATTCCATTCTTAACGCGCTTAAACATATATAAATATTAAGACTATGTGAAAATAAGAATAAAGTACTGAAAAACCCTGACAAAGTCTGTATATTTTCTTCCATTTTAGTCACAAATAAAAAAAAAAACAAAAAAAAAAACCAAACCCCCAAATTCTATGATGACATTTCCTGCAGCTTTGCTGACATTCAGATGTTCTCGTAAGCTTTCCCCACAATATCAGCGTGACAAATGGAGTTGATAGCTTGATGGTCATGGGTTCAATTCCTGTCAGTGTTGTACGATTTTTCATCGCGACCAAAACAACTTCACTCCCTCAACATCATATTGCGATTTAGTTTGTGCAAAGCATCGTGTGTAAGTTTGTCTTGCGAACGAAAGGGATTGTCACCTACATTACAAGTATGACAGGGATATATTCACTACTGAATTCGAGACGGTCAGAAACGGTAAGCCAATGGAGTTGTTGGAAAAGAGATGTGACATTGTCAATCTTGCGGGCTTGAGAGATATGTTGGCAGCCCTGTTCTGAAGTGATTGTAGACGTCGGATATCTTTATTTTAAAGACACAGACAGGTCTCCCACTCAGTCCTTGCATCAACGTCCACACTGCACTAAGCTTAGAGACAAGAAGAAAACAACTATCCATTTATAATGTATAACTTTATCGGAAATTTATTTACACACAATACATTTCTGAGACTGGATATTTGTTTATTGTAAAATATAGACACGTCTTAGAAAATATAATGCTAGCGTCTTCATCCGTCGTAAATAATAATATAGGCCTTCACTGCCCCGGTTATTATACAATGCAATAAAACATCAAATAGCAATGAAATTAAGCTTGTCAGGGAAGCAGATATATGCCTCTGCTGGAATCCCATTGCCTGTCTTAATGTATATTGCAACTTTTTTTATATAAATTTGTGTTTATTTATTATCCATTTTAACGGGATATTTTTTGTTTATTTGCGTATACAGAATATTGTATTTTTCAATTTCATTATCAACTAACGGCGACTGATTCGCCTCTTCAAAAATAAAGGCAATGAACACTCTATTATCTAAGCCTCGCCTGTAGTTACTTTTTAATGCGGTAGTTATTAAAAATGATGTTTTGCATGATTTGAACCTACGACCTCAAACACCAATCTAGAATTCAACTCTATTTTAAATGGCTAATTCCTAATGCTATGTTTTATAAGATATGCGAATTCCCAATGGAACACGACTTCAATCTATAGCATGGCCCTTAACTATTAACAACTCAAACACATGTGAAACAAGAACAAATAAATATGGATTTCAGATCTCAGGAAAATACAATGCAGAACCCAACATAATGCGTTGTGACTTTTTTGGCCCCAAAAATGAGGAATACGAATAGCAAATTTAGTAATAAATACTTAAAATATATATAAATATTTTTATGGGTTGGGAGAGTTTACCAGTACCTTTCAAATTCACTAGCGGGCTAACGTATTAGGTACGTTAACGAAATTTGAAATATACTGGTAGAAAGGAATTTAGTAGTAAACCCAACCACAGAAGGATAAAAGGGTAGAGATCCAGTTCGGTAAAAGTGGGTCATTAAAGCCACAGGTTTTTGTACTTTCATAGCAAGTTAACGTCCCAGAAGCATTGCTTTATCTTTTCTTAATTAAATATTGTATAATAAATGGATATAAAAAAATAAAATAGGATAATGGAAATCTATAAAATTCATAAAATTAAATTTAGAGTCACTGAATGAATTTTTTAAATCCAGGTCAAATTACTGATATTGAATGGAGAATGTAACACATCACATTAACACAATTTAATATAAAAAATACTTTAATTACCTGTATTGTGTTTTCAAATTTTGACTTGGATTTGTAATTCGTATATTACATAATATACTGCATAATGCATTGATGCATAATAATAATAATAATAATAAAATAATTATTATTATTAATAATAAATAATAACAATAACAATAATAATAATAATAATAACAATAACAACAATAATAATAACAATAACAATAATAACAATAATAATAATAGTAATAATAATAATAATAATGTCTATATCATCAAATATTAACATTGTCCAATTTTCATAAAAACCCCCTATATAAAATATTTATTTAAATTTATTTATCCCTAAATTAGGTCATAATTACTATAAATTTCCTGTCAACTAATTTAGATTTTTATACCATTTACAAATTGATTAATTACCTTAGATTTACAGACATGTCTATATCACTACAATCCTATGTACAAGATTGAAAATTAGGAAAATTCCGCAACATTTGAAAAACGATAACGAATATGCCATCAAGAACTAGTTACGTCATAAATTTTCGAATTTTTGAGGCGATCCCATAAATAATGAATATAGTTTTGTTAGAAATTTTTGAAATACGGTTACGTCTTTAATTTTTGAAGTTTGCGAGGATTCCCATACTGTAAATGCTTGCAGTACATCACATGTTCTTGCTTTTGTTGAGAGAGTCTCAACGTTTCGATTGAGTTGCCTCAATTCAGTGGAGTTGAAAAGCTTGGTGGTTAAGATGCTTGCCTTCCAATCCCAGGGTCCTGGGTTCAATTCCTGCCAGTTGCAGGATTTTTTCTCATGACCAAAACAACTCCACTCCCTTTAGATTTAGTTTGTGTAAAGCATTGTGTGTGTATGTTTGTCTTGTGTAAGGGATTGTCACCTACAAGTAGGATAATGATATATTCGCTATTGACAATCCTTAGCACATGTATTGTGTGCCTAAATAAATAAATTTAAAAAAAAAAATCCTCATCAGGGGATGACAGCTACATCATCAATTTTAGAAATCTTGAGCTGATCCTCCATATATTTACAAACTCTACTAACTTTTATGACCGTAATCCTAATAATACAATGCATATTATTGGAACTGTAAAACTAACTCGCCACAAAAAAACTAGGGAAATCTAAAAAGTCCTTACCAATACCAAATTATCAGGGCAATGATATGATCGTCTGCAAATGTGCCTGTCGTTTGACGAGGATCAGAACAGAATGGACTATAACGCTATAAAAGCAATGTTAATTGATAGCGATGTTAAGGTCGCATAAACAAAAACATTAATGTACATAAACTTGTGCATTTGTGGGACAGGCTCTGTTCTTATTCGTAAGTTCTTAAGTTTAACTGATACCCTGAAGAGGGCGCCACCCCGTCCAGATACGATATGCGATAAATACTTATTAGTTATCGTTTTCGGAATGTTTCACTAAACCCTATTAGCCTATTTTAACAAAAATACCAATTAATATCAATTAATCAATATTGTATATATTCACAATTATACATTTGTGTCTTAGGCATACAATAATTAATAATCATTAATCAATAATGATGAATATTTTAATTAACTTAAGTACAAACATTGTTTGATCTCTGAAATAACTGTAATTTGAATACATACACCATATCTTAATTTATACAAAACTAAATATAATAAATAAAATATGAAATTATTAACAATGATTTTGAATGTAAAGTCGCTATTCATATAAAAAAACAATTCCTTAATTACATAATATTTCATTTCTACAAGAAACGCTTGGTAATGGTCACACAAAGGTATATGCATTAAGTGCATTAAATTACAAAAAGCAATTTTTACAAGTTGCTGTATTCATACATCTTTGCTTGCTCACATTTAAAAAGGCCAATTTCCACTGGATACGATAACAGGACACAGCATTTCGAGAACAAATTATAGTCCATATAAGTTTCTCCACTAAACGCCATACGTATGAATTTACATGACCTGGCGAAATCGTCCTATGCTTGTGATGATATACAACAACATGATGACACGCGAATACAATGATAGGCCATAAATCCCAATTGGAGGAGTTTGGTCTAAACATCTTTTTCTTGAATGAACTATATTCATTTTCTTCCAAAGTTTTTCCTGAAAACAATCCTTCTCAAAATGCACATAAAAATTACATATTCTTGTCATAATTTTATATACAAGGTATACCACATTGATACAATCCATATCACACGTGAAATACTGTAAGTTATATATAAATATTTGTGCAGAACACAATCACCTAAATAAATTTTTACATTGGTTCCTGAAACATTGATTTAAACAGCGAGATATGCCAATTACACTATAAAGAAAAAAAACTATTGTTATGTCATATATTATACATTTAGACTACTTATTTCATTTCATACATATACATATATATGTTAAATCATACATGATATATAACAAATATATATATTCACACTATACAAGCAAATTACTAAAAAAAAGAATCTATGAAAGCGATTCTTGCAATTATCCAAAAGTATGTGCTTATGTCATCAAAAACTGTGTCATCAAAAAGCTATGAATACAGAGGGAATTGATGTAAAAAATTAACATCTTCTTATGACAATTACCATCATATGGAATGCTGGGATGGATCAAGAAGGTCATGGCACATTGAGTCCTGCTCAGTTTTTATCGTTAACAATTTTAAATTTCATTTATATTCGATTCTGAAACCGACCAACTTTGACAAACTGACATGACAAAGTTGAGAGAAACAAATTAAGACACATTCTACAGGCACAAATCTTCAGAATTTTCCTTGATAAGTACAGAAAAAAACAGAGATTTTATATGAAATATCAAATAAAGTGCACTTTTCTTCTTAAAAGTTGTTTTACTGGCTTGGTCTTGAAATCTACCATCTTGCTCTACTGCCCTCTATAGACAAGAATCCAAATCACAAGTTCCTGTGGAGTGAAAATATGCTCAAATATTAACCAAAGTTCAACTAAATCATTTTTGATGATTTATGCCCACAACACTAGAGGAAAACAAAAAATAAACTTAATTATAAACAGTAGCCTTCAGATCTAAAAGACATTTTTTCACAATCCACTACAAAAATTAATGGAATGAGCTTTTTTATACCCGGCTGTTTAGCAAACCCTCTGATTGCCAATAATGGTGATTTCGATCCAAAATATAATTTTATTTTTTGCCAGTTAGCACACCGTCCACCATGAAAAATGGAAATTTCAGAAAAAAAAACCAATTTATTTCTTTTTGCCCTCCACTCCTCTGAAATCTCCAAAAATAAATGACATTTTTAAAACACTTTACAGTATAACTTAAATTTTCATTCACATTTGATTCGTTTTGAAATATTTTTTGAAGTACTGAAATTGGAAATATTTTTGTACAGTAATTTTGATTTCTTTTGACATTTTCATTGTTTTTGATGTGAACTCTTGAGTATGGAAAATGGAGAATAAAAGGCAAAAATTCTTAAGTTGCAGTCCCAGTCAAATATAAATACCAAGTATGACATTATAATAATAAAAAAAACTTACATTGCGAGACCATCTTTCATGGCCAAACCCTTTCCCTTATCCGACGAGTCATCTTTATTTTTCCTGAAAACCGAAAATACGTTCTTTTTCCCGCTTAGAGTTTTACTGAGCTTGCGACCTTTTTTTGATTTAGTTTCAGGTGTCGTTGGTGTGGTAACTTTTTCTTTTGAGGAGTTTAAACTCTCGTTTGATTTCTCCGGGCTGAACACATCGTTATACTCCACAGCATCGGCCCGGGTCATTGAAGCCCTGTTTCTTTTCTCCTCTTTTTGCTCTTCTTCAACTGTGCCATTGGATACTTGTCCATTTTTAACAGGTTGAGATGGAGCTGTCACATCTGCTGGTGAATCCTCAGTTGTGTCAGCCTCATCTTCGCTACCAGACACTGGTACATACACTGCTGTAAATTTTCCATTGATCAAATCTCCCTCCTCAATTACAGAACCAGTCGTTTCCTCCGTAACCGATGGCATGCTACTGGAAGGTTCGGATACGACACCCCGATTTGTAGCCAACACATCCCAACGCTGTTGCAGACTAGGATTATTAAATGCATTGTCATTACTTTCCGGTTTAACATTCGCGGAATCGAGAGATGCAGTGAGCGGTAATTTATTTCGTTTGTCAAAAATTTCTCGGTCTCCTTCACTCTTATTACGACATGTTTTGAAATCAGCTTTCGCTTGAAGCGATGTTGGTGGCACAACTGTACGATTAGGAATAAATGACTCCGGTTCACTTGTATCCGAGTAATCATCCTCTTCATAGGATATTGGGAATATGTTTCCGCTACCACCATGTGTCGCTAAGGGGCTGGACTGGGATGAAAAACTGTCATTTGGCCCCAGGCTTGAAGAATCATCAAAGTTTGCATTCTGTGTTATAACGACAGTAGGGAGAGGATCCGACTCCAAGAACTGATCCGGTGTCTTAGGATCCGAGCTGTCTGGAATCACGGTTGGAACATTCGTAACAGATTCATAAATCTCATCAGCATCTTTGGTACATACGTCTTTATACATTTCCTACGAGTAAAACAAGTAAACAATAATGTAAAACTGTACAACCTAACTCTTGAAACTTTGTTGTCAACATATACTGGATCTTCATGCAACTTGATCATTCCCCTAATTTTGTTGTTCTATAGATATAATCAGTAATGCTACAAAGATTGGATTGGATTTGGATTAGATTTTTTAGGTGTGATACACACCAAAGATAAACAACTAAAGTCTTAAGACTTATTTCCAGTGTGGCCCTTCTGATGGTGAATTCGACAACACACCGGCAGACAATCCCCTACTTTTTTCTAAAGATTGTACTGCATTCTTCAACATGCACATGAGCCAACGGCTTAAATGTCTCATCTGAAGGACAGTGCACTTTTTGCAAACTTGCATTTCAGTCCTCCAGCTGACACATAAGGAGAGCAGTGATGGGATCAAAGAGATCTCCACGGCTCAGCGCACACACAGATTCTCATACCTTTGCCTTCTGAATACTGTCTAACCACAGTTTAGTCTGTTGGCCGGACTGCACTACAAAGGCTGACACTGCACAACCATACTCATCTTCACAAACAACTGCAAAACCACCTGAAATGAGAAAGGTTGTAAACTATAGTGCATTTGATATTAAAAACAAAACATCACTGAAAGAAAAAAAATAGGAAAATTTTTTAATTTTGCGATTCAGAATTTGATGGTGTTATATTGAAAATGTATGTTGTATTTGCATTGAGGGGTTCAGTTCAGCGGAGGAGGCCATATAAGAAAACTTGTTTTAAAGATCCTACCAACCTTGAGAACACGGACCAATCAAAGTGCTTTTACTTACTTTGATCTTTGAGAATCATAGTCTGTAAACGATCAACTCTCATTGGCTGTTTGATGACCCTCATTTTGTCGTTACTACCTTTCTTCAGCAATTTCTTTGTAACAAGGAGCATATCAGTAAAAAGTAGACCTGTAGCATCCATCTGCATCAGAAAGAAAAAAGATCAAGTTATTATCCAATTAGAAGAGCGATATAATTGTGAAAACATTTTAATCAATTACAACAATTGGTGCATAATGTACCTTCTTTCCTTCCTGGTCTTTGAGTTTCATTGGTCCTTCCAATATCAACCATCTAACTTGGTTCGGCATTGCATTAGGCATGGCTGACTTTAGGTCCAAGACTTTGGGTGCCAAAAGCTGTAGGGATGAAAATTTTAAAAGTTTAGTATATATTGAGGAGAAATGTGAATTAAATCATGCTTTTAAATGCTACATTTTGAAGAAGAATACAGCAATTTTTAAATTAATTAATTATAAAAAAATAATAGTATTGGCCATGATTATTTGTATATATATCCCTGACTTTCGATCTACTTTTCTTTGGGCTACTTTTTTTTCTTGTTTTTCCTTCTTCATTGTGTATATTACTGTTAAGTACAACTAAGTAAAAAAATGGTAAGTATAAAAAATATAAAAGTCTTTTTTGCCTACCTGGGTTAATTCTTCAGTATTGCAAGAGTCCACTACATCATACGACTCAATTCTCAGAGCGACCTTTTCCAGGCGTTCTAATTCGTGGTCCTTGCGGACCTCATGGTTAACACATTTGATAAATGAGCCTACTTCATTTTCCTGTAGGAATGAGATCAATATAATTTTTAGAACTCTCCACTAGGTTTACGTAAAGCCGGACACACGCTGCAATTTGTTACTTTCTTTCAGTTACCAGCAATGACAAAGGCTTTGTAATTCAGTGAAAAGTACTTACCCTCTGTTTTACAATGTCCTGAACATCTTGGTCTTCATCTTTCTTGCCTACTGCCCCAAGCAACAGCGGGTACTTAGTTAACCTTTGCATGGGAGACACAAGTAATTCTGCCAGGGACCGCCTCTCACTTTTTGCATGCTGTTCACACCACTTCAAAAAAAAAAGAAGAAAGAATGACAGAGTGAGAAATAAAAGTTACTTGATAGTATAAAAATACAACATGGTTTGAAGTGAAGTACTGAATTCTACTTACCAAAATGATTGGAACTACATCCCGAAGCAATGCAGAGGAATGTAGTCCCAAATATTTAACGAGTGAAGTAGAATTCACTGCTTTACCGAAGTAAAACCATTTTGTATATGTTTTACTATACCTCATAAACATTAAACAGCAAACACGTCTAGCCATTGAGGGTAAAATTGTGCAGTTTGCATACGTACACTGTGCGGTTCACGTAGGCCAGGGTGCGGTAATCGATTTTTTGTGGTACATTTTTGTTAGCATATACATAAATTTGGCACACGCAGCTAATTAGAAACTACCACACCCCAACCGGGTGGAACTGACCAAAGGGATGTTGTTATTACCTAATTAATATTTATGAAGATTAGCAACTCTTAATATGGCACTAATTGTAAAATGATGGACTACCACTACAAAAAAAACCACTGTATTTGATAAGATAGTAATACAGGTAAGTAGAAACTACCGCACCCCAACTAGGTGTAATTGACCAAAGGGATGTTGTTTTAATATTAATATTCATGAAGTATAGCAACTATTAATACGGAACTAAATATGAAATAATAGACTACTACCACAAAGACAAAGACAATATATTTGATAATATAGTAATAAGGTACCACTGTAGGGCTGTATATTTTGTACCATTTTGAAAAAATGGTAAAAGTATGACATTTTTTGCAGTATACAGAAAGAAAAAAATAAACAAACAAATAACTGAATTATTGTACTCACATCTATAAACAATTTAAAGGCCTCGTTTTCCTTTTGCTTTTCTCTGTGGTACTGGATGCACTTCTCTTCTTCTCGACAGAATTTGTTATAAGGGTTAAAACGTTCTGGGAACTACGGCAAGGGATTTGAAAATATAGAATTAAATTATCTTAATTATAACAAACAATAATAATAATGACCATTTACAAATTCCACTTCATTCACCTGTTGAAGCTAGCTAGAGCTTGAAAAAAAAAAACTATATAAATAACATGTTAGTCAAAAACTATGCTGTGTTTACTTGTTTTATTAAAACTATATTTAATTATCTACAATGCTTTATGGGTAATAATCTTGAAATTTGAAAAAAAAATGGACAAATAAAAAAATCAATAAATTAAACAAATAAACACAGGTTTCCCTCCAATTAAAGACCAATTTTGGGACCTGTGTTTTTATAGTCTTTACCAGCTATTATAAAGATAAAATATAACTGTACTTTCAGAGACACAGAAAAGCGGTCTTTAATAGGAGGGATAACTGTATACATAGTAAATGAATGAATAAATAAAAGTCTCTCTTACTGTTTCAAAGGCTGTGGCAATGTCCGATGCTGATAAAAGACCCTTAGATGATCTGGCCTTGGCAAGTACATCATGAAGGCACTCTTTATAGAATTTCACATGCAAGTCTTGAATGTCTCTAATATTGCTAAATAACTTCTCTGAGTCAATCTAAAAAAAAAAAAAAAATGAGAAAGAAATATGAGATTTAATTAGGAAGCACCAATATGTTTACAAGAGAATGAAAAGAGAATGAGTGATTGTAAAACTTTTTATGAAAGTGTAGCTGTAATCTCCCTCTGAACTGAGATGTAGAAAATGGTAAATTGAGGTTAATTAAAATTTTTCTGAGTTTTGGTGAGTTGAGTTTGTGAGGTATGATGAGTAAGTATTTTCAACTCTTTGTGAGGTTTGGATGGTTGTTGCATAGTTTCTACTCTTTGTGAAGTCTATTGGGTTAATTTAGTCTTTCTGATCGTCCTTTTCAAGCTTTGGTGAGTTATGCATTTTTTAGCGTGTCAAGTTTCTTTGGTTGAGTTTTTAAAGTCTTTGTGATGTTTTGTGAGTTAAGTTGTTTTACTTTCTTTTTGTATGCTAGGTTTGGTGAGCTACAGCTGTATTTTACTCTTTGTGAGTTAAGCTTTTTTACTCTTAGTGAGGTTTTGTGAGATACAACTTTTTTTGAGGTTCAATGAGTTGAGTGAGATATGGTGATTTAAGCTGTTTTCACTTCTTGTGAGTTTTGGTGAGTTGGGTATTTCTAACTCTCTGTGAAGTTGAGTTGTTTTTGTTATTTATGAGGTAAGGTGTGTTGAGCATTTTAAAATATCTCTTTACTTTTTGTGAGTAGAGTGTTTTGAAATCTTTGGTAGGTTTGGTTTGTTGAGTTGTTCTTACTGTTTGTGAGATTTAGTGAGTAAAACATCTGTGAAGTATGGTGGGTTGAGTTGTGTGAATATTTGTAAGTTCAGTTGTATAACTTCTTATGATCAGGTTTGGTAAGTTGAGTTGTTTTACTTTTTAGTAAGGTTTGGTGAACTGAGTTGTTTCACTTTTCTAGGGGGTTGATGAGCAGAGTTGTTTTGACATTTCCAAGAGTAAAATGACTTAGTTATTTCTGATATTTAGCTATTTTATCATTAGACAAATGTTAGGATTTTCCAAGATTTTATAAGGTAATAACTTATGTCACAGACAATTTGTAAAATCTTACCTCACACAGTATTACATGTTGTTGCACGTTTAGAAGAACTGATAGAAAAAGCTGAAAATAGAGAAACACATTTTCAAAAATCAGCAAATTCAAACTCTTAATCCAATGAAAATCTAATCTATTAATTCTCTATATAATTTGATTTTTTCTTTGCAACTGTCATTGTCCCATTACATACAACAATTTAGAAACTTTTTCTCACTCAGTAACATGTCTCCAAAAAACACAGATGTGGTCGTCATTAATATTTTTTTTATATATAGTTAAATAATAGTTCTATTGATCAAGTTTGTTATAATCACGTTATATTTTCATTGTGGATTTTTTGGGCTCAGTACGGACTCTAAACGTATGCATTTTCTTTTAGTTTTAAGGTGTATGCGGATTTTATAAGTCCGCAATGACGATATAACGTGTTTATACTTACATCCACAATAATGTTTAGTTTTTTTAGATATGACACCTCTGTACATAAAATTTCCCAAATTGCTTCTTGTTGATCTCTCTGTTGTTTGGTCAGCAATGTTGGGTCCCCACTATATATATTTTTCCAACTTTCTTCCTGGGATGAATAGAAAAAAAAGTATGAAAGAAATAAGAAAATCTAATAAATGTAAAACACATTATGACAAAAATCACTAGTATTCATTACCACAAAAATTTGATTTAATAATTAAATTTAACTCAAGAAAGAGAATAATAAAAAAAAAACCAAAAAAAAAAAAAACCCAGAATATTGAAGGATAAATTTTTCAAACAATGCAGATATTTATAGGTTTGTGAAATCTAAATATATTCTTTGCAGTGAATTTTATGCAAGTCATATATATTGAAAATGTTAGTTAGTAGTTGTTGTTTTTGCTGCAGTTGTTGAATTTCATCCTGATTGTGTTGTACTTGTTGCAAATGATGTACTAATCCATTATGAATTTCTTGCATGTGAATCTTTCCCATTTTTCTTGTTCTTACAAGTTCTAAAAAGCCATCTAATTCATCCTCTTTCCTGTCAAAGGATAATAATGCGGGAAAATCAGGAAGTCCTTCTTCCATGTACAGTTGCAGCTTGTCTTCTAACTCCATGAGACGGATGTCCTTAATTTCCTGAAAATTCAAGTCAAAATCTTTAGTAACTTAAGTAGTTGCACTGATTGTTTGATAGACTTTAATTATTTCACAAAACTAAAATATTGTTTTCTACGTTTAATTTTAAGTACTGTAGTTTCAAATTACACCATATCAACTAGAGTCAAAGTATACAGGTTCTTAGAATCAATATAAGAAAACATAGTGTTCTTTAACACTCTTACAACTACATATTTGTAATTATCTACTTGTCACACAACAGTGAAAATGTATAAAACAAATACAAATGCTTCATTTATAAAAATAAATATTAAAAATTTATTTAAAAACATTTAAAATAATTTTCATTTATATTAATGCAGAGTCATCTTAGTAATTACAATTAATTGACAGAAAACCAAGTTGAAAAAATAATTGATATCTGAAAATATCATCATAATAGTGTAGTTCAAAGAGAAATACTTACAATATATAAAATATAGTTGTAAATTCCATCATTAACTTTAACTTTCTTAATAAGGAATTAGTAGAATATAGTATAGGTACTTCTAAAGTCTGTATAACCACATGCAAACTTATCCAAGTCTTATTAAATCCATGTTAGATTTATATTTTGTTATATGTGAATCTAAATTACTACTCCAGTAAATAAAAAATATAAAGTTTAGTCCTGTGCTATTATGTAACTTGCTTCATTGGAATTGGCAAATACTCTCAAAATTCTTTAACAAGATATATTGTTCATGTTTGTATCTTTAAAGCTTTAATATTTAACAAATTCAATGTTTATATATAGTGGTTCTTCTATATATAAACAATTTCAATTAACCACACCTTTTTTGGACAAAAGTTTTAAGGGTGTTTAGTTCAGCTGCAAAAGTTGGGGAAAATATTTCTTTTAGCAATGTGGACAACCCCTACTGTACCTGATATATAAGACTTATTTGCCAGTTTCTGACAAAGCATCATGTCACATTTAATCCAAAGTATTAGTTTTGTATTAATGTTACACCTATAATCATATTAATATCATGATTATATTCCCCACCCCTTCCCTCACTGAATAATTTGTGGAGTGAAGGTGCAATAAAAAGAAAAAAAACAGAAGGTTTTTCATGCAGAATGGAAAGTGCAACAATAAACTTGAAACAATCAATGAATTTTAAAAATATACAAATGATATAAAATACAATCATAAAAGGACAATGTCAAAATCTCAGATTTCTACTGAAGATGGAAGGGGTTATATTCAAACACCTGGATGTGTAAATGATCTTGCTTTTTCTGAAGAAAATGGAATTGCAAGTTAATTTATTAACAAAGATATCTGAATAAACAAAAAGTGGTGCCTGGATAGATAATAAGAGACCCTGGAAATAAGAAAGGTTCCTGGAAATGAAAGTGTAGTTTCAAAACAAACACTTTTGCAATAAGGAAAAGATGCAGAGTAGAAATATTGTTCCTAATTGTTTGAAGTTCTTCCTCAAACAGAATTATTAGCAACATTTTTTCAATGTTTAAAAAAAAAAAATAAAAAAAAAATACCAACAACTTAGTGTACATATACTGTACCACATGAAGTAATATAATAAAATAATCATTCTCCTAATATTTTAGTTTATTTATATTTTACTTTATATATTTGTGCTTTAGAGCAAATCATTTATCCCACAACCATTGCAAAATAACGGACCAAAAGAATAGATGGCAAGCTTTCCATTTTGATGTATCTACGAATGCATCTAGTAATAAAAGGCTTGTGCACAAGGCAAACAACAAGCAATCATAGCCGCAGGAAGTAAGGATATTGGCAGTGTTACTGCCCTCAATAACACACGGATCAAGCACATTCTAAGCGCCGTAATTTCATAAGTGTGATATCCTTTTACTTCAAAACACTGGGGGCGCAACAAATTCTTCCCACGGCTATGCAGGCTAGTAGGCTAGATGATTTTTTTTTTTAATGGCAAGGAGAATTCCATGATGGTGCGGGTTAAAAATGTAGGCCTACTTTGCACTTTTTACATTTAGTTTGGTACAAACCTTTGGGGACGTAGCGTTGAAATTCAGGAGGGGGAGAGAAACTCTCCTGGCTCCTGGGGAGTTGCTTTCTGGGACTGGAAGTGAAGCAACAGCGATGGTGGACATACCAAGGTGAGTGAAGATATTTTTTTGATGGTATTGCTTTTGCTGAAAAAATGAAGACAGATACTTGCAATGCATGCTCAGAATACAGACAAACTTTAAATAAATTTTTTTTTTTAACATACATTTTTTTTACGTACATATGGAAATAAAAATATTAATTATTATAATATCTATTTTTTTTATAAAACTGTTTTTTTAAACCATCTTAATCATATATTATTGATCTGAATTGAAGCTTAATAAATAAAATTGGTACCATATGAAAAAATAAAATAAATTCTAATTAATTGTTGTAAAGGAATATTCCATCCTAATCACAACACATTAATATCAAAATCCTTATTATGATTGTTATTATCATCATATAATTACTGTTTTTATATAATTGAACTTGCATTTCCTGGAAGATAATATTTATTTGTGAACCAACCAAGAAATAACCATCATGAGAGATGAGCTTTAATTACAAAAATTTTCAAATAACTTGAGTATAAAATTTCATTGAAATCTAAACAGTTAGGTAGAATGTACAGATCAGATTTTTAGCAATCAAACAATCATCGGGAATAAATTAGATTTATATGACCAATATCATATAAAATATAATTAATAAAATTAATTTTAAAAATATTACAGTTATCATTATAATCATCTTTAAAAAGATCTGTTTGATTATTTTATATTAATTAATGTTAATGAAAAAATATTATTTATCATTATTATAATCATCTTTAAAAATATTTGCTTGATTATTTTAGAATGTAATTAATAATCAAAAATTATTAAAGTTATTATTATAATCATCTTTATATCCTTATATTATTATCATTATATATACATAATTTGGAAATAGGTCAAATTATTTACATAGTATATTCACATAGTAAATTTATTTTTATTATCATTTTTGTATATATTATCATGAATTTTATTTATTAATAAAAAGATAATTATTATCATACTATTAGTATTATCACCAATATAATTATTATAATCATTAAATCAAGTTTGTCTGTTTTTCTGAATTGCAACTAAAGAAAAAAGTAAAAAAGATCATCTGAAAGAAAAACATAGACATAAGCAAAATACTTTTTAAACAAGAAAAGAACATAAAAATACTTATAGTGAAAGCACATGGTAACGATAACACAAGTACTGTATTCTTACAGAGATAAACAAAAGTATAATTTAAAAAAAAACATAAATAATGATACTATAGAGGGCGATATAATCATCTCATATGAATCCATAACTCAAGAGTGTAACATAATTTTATAACATAACTTTCTCATTCACATTCGACAGCAAATTCACCACATACAACATATACATAATGTAAGCGGTGCTCTTTAAACTACAGCAAGTAGTTAGTTAATCAAAATCGAGGACACTGTGATTGGAAGACGAGAAAAAAAACAAAACAACCTAGATTCACTTCCGCTTTAATCGGTTTATCAGGGCGCATGGCATAATCACGGCAGTATAACGACTCTAGAGATCTCTTTGTATTTTATTGACAACTAATGAACAACATGCAATGACATAACATAACCGGTGAAATGGAGTTGTCAAAAATAAATACAAACATAAAACATTCTGTTAGATTCTCCAAATATGAAATTGTTGACACACAAAGAATTCAGTACTGTAGTAACTTAATTATGTAACCTTTAAATTGAATCAAAAAATGTAATTTAAATAAAAAATGTAGATCTGCCTCAAATGAATCATACCCGAAAATAAGAGACTGTATAAAAAGAAACCATTAAATATTATATTATTAATAATTAATACTATTTCTAAAATACTGTACAGTTAATAACATGTTATTGTAACTTATATATATGTATAACATGCACTTAGGTATACTATCACGTTAGTATTATCAGTGGTGTATCTACGGGTATTGAAATAGAGGGGGGATGGTAAAATACGAGGGGTCGATGATAAAGTGAAGGGGAACTATTTAGCAAAATCATGTGTTATAAGGTGACTTTTAACAACTTCAGCGTAATTTATTTGCTTTAAAAATTTTGAGGCGGGGAGTGGGTGGGAATCGGGGTTGAAGTGTTTTTCCCCTCAGCCCCACGCCTAAGGACCCTTAAATACGCCACTGAGTATTATTAGAGTGAATGCACTTCAAATCATTTAGCTTAAAGCACTTCAATTCAAGTCACATTTCTTGGTGGATAGGACTGTGTTAAATAAAGCCTTAGAGATTCAACATTGCAAGATGAGTTACCTGATTGAATAACTCATAAATATTTATTACCGTATCTATCTACATCATTGTAAACACAAGTGTACCAATAGCTGATGTGAATATAATATTCATTTGTCATTTGATAATTAATAAATGAATTTTAAGGTCTATTACAAAATCATCATATATATACATAACTTTCGCAAATTATTTAAAATCTCTGGTTTGAGACCTGGTAAAATTATTACTATTTTTTTAAAGTTTTGGTCAAAATCCTGTTCTTTTCGATTAATTTATTGCATTATTCAACTTTTTTTTTGTATTTTTTTCACTAGTTAATCTCTATGTAAATATATCTCTTCCAAGATCCTGTTTTGTTGGTTTCAATACTTAAGATGCCAACATAATACTGTATAAGTACTGATCTAAAGTCACAAATTCAATGAATATGAACTAATAAGTTATAGAAATACATGTATTATAAATAACTATATTTCTATAAACTTTTAAATAAGTTATAAATAAGCAGTGTTGTGTAAAAATAAACCATGACATACGAGAATTCTATCCACTAATTTGCATACTCGGTTACACTTGTGTTTTTCCTATGGCTTACAAGATCTCATTAAGTACATAGCACTTATTCATTTTATTCACAAACAAAAAATAAAACTGATCATGTTCATATATAAATCATGAACACCTATATAGCAATTATATATAAATACTATTTAGCAAATATAAAAATGGGCTCGTGCATTAATGAGATGATTTTTGCATAATAAAAAGCTTTTTTTTAGCATGAGGAATTACGATAAGCGTCAATATATCAACGTGGATAATAAGATACTACGAAGACATCTTGTAATCAAGCAAGTTCGCAAATGTTTTAAATCCAGATGAACTCTTTTTTGTAGTCCACTTTCCTTGAAGTCCATTAATAAAAGAACTTAAATTCAAATATCTTACTGAACCAGTACATAATATTTTCTTACAAGAATAATTTTTCTATAGAATCATTTTCTCAAATCTCGCTTTTATATGAGATTCTTCATGTTTTCTTTAGCATTTCCTTTGAATTATCTTGTGAATTTTGTTGCTACGAAGCTTGATGCCTATAGTATAAACTATAAATTTGCGTATTTCTTCATTCAATTTGCTGGTGAATTAATGAGGCATTTACAACGACTGCATGAGATCGGTAGTAAGCAGATACTCTACCCGAGTAATTTTAAAATAATGTAATGAAATATACGGTACAAAAACTAAAATGACTCCTAATAAATTGTGACTAAGTGACTGGTTTAGATTTGTTAAGAAATTAATCTTTTAAAAAATAAAAAGGAAAGCAAGAAATGATAAAAAGAGAAGAAATCCAAAAGTGGTGAAATGTCTTACTGCTGGTGGGGTAATTCCAAGATGGCCGAATATATCTTTTCTGAATTTATACTCTTGACCAAGATCAAGAGACTGGATACAGAAGAGAGAAAAACAATTTATGAAAAAATGTATTGAATGTAATAATAATAATTGAAAAATAATTGTAATTATTACAATAATAAACAGTCATTTTAACAAATATAGTAATATTATAATTATAACAATATTAATAAATATTTAAAAAGACAATTGAAATATGATAATTTTGATAATAAAATTTGATTACTTTTAAGAGATTTTATAAATAATTTGTAAGTTAATTAGTAATTTACATTAGTTATATTTTAAATAAATAAAAAGAAATAAATTTCATACTTCAATTTAATAATATATATATGCCATGGAACCAAGGAAAGGAATATGAATTTTAAACAATGTACCCAAACTTAATTTTTATGAACAATAAACAGTCTGTACTAGCATGGTGTGGGAAAAAATTAGGTAGGGAAAGCCAGCAAGAGGGGAATTTGAAGGTTGAATGGGGAGAAGGGATGGCAAATATTAAGATGCAAAACCCAGCACCAATGCATACAACACACACTAACAGTTTACTGCTTTGGTTGACTTCATTTAATTTATCTTATCCCTCGAAAAAGTCCCAGAGGAACAAACTTTCTCTCTACAACTCTGGAAAAAAGTTCTTTCAAAACCACTGGGAAATTATACAATCCTTTCAAACTCAACAAGAAACCTTATCCACCCTCTATATAGTAAGCCTACCAAGGAACTCTATCTCTCTCTAAACTCTGGGAAGGCTTTCCCCACTCTGGAAAACTTTACATACTGTAACTCTCTCAACAAGTCTGGAAAAACTTATTGCCGGTTATTCAATAACACGTCTGGGGAAGGGGAGAGAAATCTGTGCCCTTTCGCTCAGCAGCTTCAAAGAAATGCAACACCTTTATCAATACCATTTAGGAGTATTACAACTCTCCCTCAACAGTAGGCCTACTGGTGAATCTCTGAACATGGCTCTGGAATCTACAGTATACAACCTCTCTCAACAGTATATATATTGGAAAGCTTTAAATCCTCTCTCAAGAACTTCGAGAAGCCTATCATCCCTCTCAAATATACTGGAGAACTTCAACACATCACTCAACAGTTCTAGAGAAATTTATCGCTGTAGTAGCAGTTGTGAGTTTATTTTAATTTTGCCCAATTTATTGAATGTTTTGATACAATATGCTTTTTTTTAATGATTTTTTGTTAATAGGTATTATTATCATCAACATCATCATCATCATTATTATAATTATCACTATCATCTCATACATCTTTTCCACCCGCCAAAAACAAACAAAAACAAAACACTTGCAACAAAAAACAAACTCTTAACAGTTGCAATGTTACTGACAGAATTCTTACAGGATTCGAGCCAAACGTTTAATGACAGCAAGCACTGCACACAACAAACACATGCATTGTCATTCGTGTTAAAAACAAAAACAAAAAAATTAAACATACGACAAAACATAAAGAATACAATATTTCAATGAAATGATTGGTGTGGTATGAGTGATCAATAATCAATAATAATCAATACTAACGTCAATCAATGTTGATCTCATATAAACTTCAAATTAAAACAAACTTAAATAAAAATATAATCAAAGTAAAAAAAAACATAAAAAGTACTTAATTTTCTTAAAAACCAACTGAGAGAAAGTAGACTTAAATGTGAATAAATAAATTATACAAAAATTTAAAATGTCTGGTAAACTTTTCTTACCATTACTTCCAGATTTTGTAGAATTTTTTTTCTTTCATATTAACTAATATATTTAAAATTATTTTTTCACATCAGATATAAATTCCAAATATAAATCAATCAATCATAATCAACTCAAAACATATCGACAAATCAACAAACACCACACACAGAAGCCAAGCCACAAAATACATGCACTGCAGCGACATATAAATACACACTGAAAATGTTTAGGCCCACAGGAAAGAATTTTTTTCCTCCACAACAAACAATCCCCAAGATGGCAAAAAGGGCAGAAACATTTTTTATTTCTGAGAAGTTTTGGCTTTAGCCATTTGGATTATATTAGATTGTTAAAAGAAGCTTTTGAAAACATTGTTTTAAAAGAAAGAGCAAAGAAGTTTGAATCCTTACAGGGTGTGGCGCTATGCCAAGATGGCCGAAGATATCCTTTCTGTAGGTCTGACCAAACTCGGAATCTGACTACATAGAGAAGAATAATTAGTGAGAACAGAACGATTGAGATATAAAGTAATACAAAGACAAACAAATATAATCCAGGCCTGTTAAGCTACCTGTTTAACACACATCTCACAATGGGGAAGAGGTGGGTTTAGGCCTGGTATGTTTTCCAGACGATAACACATCTCTTCCCCCAATGTCATGAGGCTTGTAGGCATATATACTATAATAAGTTACGCTATCCCATTCATAATTCTTTAGTATTCTTTGTAGCCCAGAAAAAAACAACACAGAATTGGCATGACAAGAACTTGACATTATTCATAACAAATGTATTTTTTTTAAAATTTGTCTATTTGTTTGTTTACACAGTGCCTTTGCAGGTACGCAGCACTTCTGTCCCTGGTCATTGGGTCTACAATGCAACCCCACCATGAAGCTACTCATGTATATTCCTGTGTGGAAAGAAGCAATGTATATAAAGTGCGTTGCTCAAGGACACAAGCTAAATGCATAGCGCAGCATTGAATCCCCCTACCTAAATGTTGGAAACCAAACAGTTCCTACTGCGCCAAACCACTTCTCCAAATATATCTGTTATGAATACTGATTGTGTTGCAAGATTCATCTTACTGAAAAACATGAGACAGCAAATGATGCAACCTGAATATTGCAGGTTGGAAAACCTTTTTTCAGGGGCCAACAAATTCCTAGGCTACCAAGAATAATCAAAGGAACTATGAATTTTGAAATGGTTGGTAACCTGACCTGTCAAATATATAAATTGAAAAAACAACAGTTAAATAGATTGAGGAGTGGATAATTTTTCAGCAAAATTCTTTTATCATAAACAGCTTGAGCATTTATTTGAAATTGATACGAGTGCTATAAAACTGTTTATAAACTAAAATCTTATTTATCAAAAGTGATTAAAAAAAAAAAACTGTTGTATTTCAATTTTATCATTTGTACAGGTCGAAGGTTATATTATAGTTAGTGTTCACAACTCCATAATATTGATTACACTATTCTTTTTCCCTGAAATCTAAAAAAGAAATTGATGATTATGCAATTGATGGAACCTTTAACATATCAAAAGATATTAGCATAAAAATACAACATTTATTACAATGATACATACAGTAAGAAAGACAAAGATTGATTCAATTAGATTAGATCACCCAAGGTAAATGTATATAAAAGTCAGTGTTTCCATAGCAACAAATTATCATTAATTATCCGATAGAATTCCTGTAGAAATGAGCCCAAGAGGCTCTGATCAACTTTATATAACAGATAGTTTCAAGTGCAATCATGTTTTATAGACTAGGTGCAATGTAATTTAACAATATTTTGCAACATGTCTAGGCAGGGGGTTGGCTTAATTCTTTCTGTCGCAACAAAAGAAACTATACAATTTCTTTCATGTCTTGGTGAATATTCCTTAAGACCAACGAATGTAAAAACAAACAAAAAAATCATGGCTCTTTTTGCAACATAATATCGTCCTAAAATTGATTGCAGACACAATTCATTTTTTATTAGACTGAGCGTGTCGTAGCACAGCTTGTCTTAAGGAAAATTGCAATGAGTGGGGCCAGATTTAAATCCCAATGTACCGATTTCTAGCTGTATTTATTCCATATGAATTTGTTCAAATGAATGTGGGGTTAATAATTTGAAGTGTGACATTATTACAGTCTATATGGTATCTGCACAAATATTGGTTTTATTAGATTATTGTTTTTATCAGATAAATTCATTGGCTACAGAAACACTCATATCAAAATGTTCTTTAACAAGTTCACACCAAAATTCACAGATGTATTAGTCAATCACATGTTGAAAATTTCAGGATTTTTCATTTTAACTTGCATTTGAACAGGCCAATTGAATATGATGTGAACTTGAGAAAAAGCATTTTTAAAAGCATAGCATACACTGTTAATAATAAGTACAGCATAAAAATATATTTAAAATAAAGCAGAAATCTTGATTTATGGTGAGCTTACCTGTACATGAAAAACAACCCAACGATTACACTTAAAACTAGAGTAATTATCAGAAATGACTAAACCAAGACTCATTAATCAACCAATCAAAAATAAATATTGATAATTATACCAAACATGTTAGTGAAGAAAGCGGACATAGATTTAAACTGATTGGAATATGGAAGTGACTATTGCACATATAGTAGATAACACATTTGAAGAAATATTTATCTGTATCATGAAATGTGAATCCTGTGAGGTGTAAAGATATGTGTGTGATATGTGTGTGCATCTTGCACAGATATGCACATACATAATTGTAAAGATGCACGTGTGTACATATAAATCGAGAAGATGCGTGTGTGCACACACGCGTGTGAATTCTGCTAAGTTCTGCTCTTTGGATATTGTGGCTAAGATCCCACAGAAAGGCGGTAAGCATACGCACACACATGCGTTTGTAAACAACACATGCGTGTTTGTAGGACGCACATATTCATGGACCTGTTTTGATTGGTAAGTTGTAAGCTTGATTGACACTCTAGAAATGTCCATTGAGAAGTTGTGTGTGTGTGGGTGTGTGTGTGTGTGTATTGGAAAAATGTGCGTGTGCATAATTGAGAAAATAGTGTCTGCGTACAACCTATGTGTACGAGCACACTTGAGACAATGTGTGTTCGCACACTTGAGAAAATGTGTGTCAGCACACTTGAGACAATGTGTGCGTACACACTTGAGACAATGGGTGCATGCACACTTGAGACAATGTGTGTGAGCACATTTAGACAATGGGTGCGTGTACAATTGAGACAATGTGTGCGTGGACACTTGACACATTGTGTGTACACACAATTTTACAAGAAAGGCCCACAATTTGTGAAGTTGTGTAAAATGAGTAAACACACAAATATGTAATGAAGTGTAGAGAACAAGTTTATATGCCACTGATTATCACGCTCACATTTCATTTGGGTCTGACAGCTCATGAGTAGTTTAATCGAAAGTTAACCGAAGATTAATTAGAAGGTCTTATGTTTGAATCCCAATGGAGGACAATTTGTTTTCTATTTATCAGACTTCAAACTAGCATCACTACCTTTCACCCTGTTTCAATATCAATTAAACTCATCATCGTTAAAGCTCATCACCATTATCATTATCATACTCATAAAAAAAAAAGCAACTCTCTGTGTTCTTGAAACTTTACATCAAGAAAATTAAAATAAAATTAAGGTCATTACAAATTTTTTAACGACCCATTAGACTTATTTTATTTTATGCAATAAAAGTTATTTTTATAAAAAATTATCTATATAATCAAGGTGATATGAATAAAAAAATAACTTTTTAATATTCTTCATCACAATTTATCATAATAATGACTTTTTTTTTTGCGAGCAAATGAAGTCTTATACCTGTAACAAATTGAATGATTATCTTTTATCACAGAAAAAAAATTCACTGACATATCGTTGTATAAATATTGTTCTTTCCTTACCAATAATGAAGAAAATTGGCAAACAAAGCAAAAAGAAATAAACTCTACGTCAGTAATGTTGCATGCTCCGGGAAATCACAATACTAGAATAAATTCATCGATAATATCGGTCACATGTTACTTATTGTCCAATCAGAAGGGATCAATATATCATAATTTTAGTTTTGCATGTCTTATTGATAAAAGAAACGTATTCTATCTGAAATTTGGTAAAACTTGCAGTTAAATTGGTCTGCTAAGAAAAAAAAATGTCCACAGACAATTGGTTAAATTTGGATTTCTCCACATTTAAAATGATGACAGTAATAAAAGTTTCATAATCATATTTAAGTACTAATTCTCAACTATGTTTCATTAACACTCTAACCGCCAGCGGTTTAAAAAAATAGTATCAGCCACCGCCCAACATTTTAGCAAATGTTAACACTTTTACGAAGCTCGTTGAGAGTGCGTATGTGATCAGATTGACATGAAGTGAATATTACAAGAACTACAAACATTTTGGCTTTACAATAGTACCAAACACTTTATTCTACTCAAAATCTGTGACCCATAACAGTAAAATGAACATGACTCACTTCTGGAGATTTACGCAATTTAGCACAAAGAAGCTGTAATAATCGGGATTTCGTGAAAGTAAATCAATACCGCTTAATGTAAACAAACCAATAGTGAAATAAT